TACAAAAAACATACAAAACATACAGAAACAACTAAAAGTGCTATAGTGGTGCAGCTTTCCAGCTGCTCCTTTCACTTTTTTTTCTATATCCGTCCACACGGTCATGTAAAGCCTGGAAAAGTCATGTGGGGATCAATCAATCAGAATCAGAATTAGGTTTATTGCCAAGTAGGTTTTTCACCTACATGGAATTTGATTTGGTGTTAGGTGCACAACATTTCTATGAGAAACAAGAAACGACATACAATGTAGAAATAAAAATATAGAATAAAATAAAATAAATAATAATAATAATAATAATAAATAATAAAATAAAATATTGAATGTCCAACGACAAACCAGAAAATGTTGAACGTAGTATTGGGTAAATTAGTAAGGTAGAGGGGGGTGAGAGAAGAAGAATCAATCAATCAATCAAGTTTATTTGTATAGCCCTTTACAATACCCAAATGGTACTCAAAGTGCTTTACAACAAAGCCATAAAACAATACAAAAAACATACAAAACATACAGAAATGGGGCATTAAAAGCCTTCCAGAAGTGCGTAAAAAAGGAGCAGACAGAAGGAGGAAACCCAAGAGTCCCTAGTCCGAATTAAATGCTAATTTAAAAAAGTGGGTGTGCAAATACAGATTTGCAGGTATTACTTACGCACGGGTCACTTTTTTTTATATCCGTCCACAGAGTCATGTAAAGCCTGGAAAAACCTTGTGGGGATCCTTACTGCAATGTGGTCACACAGAGGTTTTGATCCAAATAAAATATTATCTTCTGACTGTTTCCAGGAGGGGTTGAAGCCGTAGCATTTAAGCTAGGCTGCCAAAAACAGTTAGCTTTTTGGATTGCTTGTTGGGGGGTATCAGTTATGATGCATATGAGCCTCCTCTGTTTGCTTTAATAAGAAGGATGATACCAAGCTGACCCCAGTAAGAACTTGAGTCTTTACTCCACACACAGTTCTCCAGTATCTCCTTTCACTGTACGCTTTCGTGCACATTTAGCTATGACCACACACAGACACGTTTCTAATCTAACTGTGTAAACAGGGCTTTCTTAATCAAGGATTTGGTATTTGGCTGCGCTTTGACTCGTGGACAAATGAGCAGGTTTATAAAAGATTCAATCAGGCCTCATAATTTGGAAATGTTATTAATACACCATATTACTGGCCCTTGGAAAAGGTGGAGTGGATTTTAAGTGGAAATACTCAGAGCACTCATTTGGATCCAGCATCTGCCCAAAGCATCTGAAAGACATTTTCAGAGCGAGCTTTAGAGGGCGATTTGCCTCGAGTCAAGTCATTACTGTCCCTTTTTATTACAGCAAAAAATACTACCAAACTTTAGGTTTCATCAAGATAAATGACCCTCCTGCAGAAACGCACCCATTGACTTACAGTAGTTTTCATGCCCTCGCTGTGAACTCTCAACTTCCTGTTTTCCCCGACTGGATTTGGCAGCAAAATCCATCTCCATTAAGCAACTTGTCTCCAGATTTGCAGCATTAAGCATATTTCCAAAGCTCGGTGTCAGTCTGTCTCGATTGCCACGAGTCATTAAGGTCTCTCAGTTTTATCACCAGTGTCACATTCCCCGTCCCGACGTTAAACCTTTAAACTCCTAAGTTTCTCCTGCATGTGTGGCAGCCATCCATGTCCATGTCAACTGTTTGTCTGCGTGCACTGCAAAAAAACAAAAGAAAGCAACAAAAAAAAGAAGGAAAACAGCCTGAACCCTTGCAGCCCGGAGCCACGGGAAACTTTGAAAGCCTGATTATTCTCAGTGAGATGAATCGGCCAGTTGAATGAGATCATTTCTTTTTTCCTATTAAAGTTTCAAGATGTTGTTGTGGATGAAATGATGTAATCTTGGAGAAGTAATGTGGATTATATGCAGACATATATGAGCAGCTCTGAAACAGGTGAACTTCTGACTTCCTGTTTTACGTCTAATGCTGCATTTAGTGGTTTTTTAACAGTATAAAAGTTTTTTGCATTGTGGGGAAAGTGACCTTTGTTCCCTGTGAGCGTTTTTCTGTGTGTTCTACCACCCCATCCATTTTAATTTGTGTTGTTTTGTGAACCCAGGCAAAACGTGTGATTCCATCATCAATCACTGTGATTGTAACCCTTGTTTTAATGGCGGGTCCTGTCAGAATCGATTGGATGGATATTTCTGTCATTGTCCGTTTGGTAAGTAATAAAAGGACACTTTCAGGATTTAAACAGGCCCGGTGGTGAATTTAAGACAAAAAAAAACTATTGTAACCACCCTCATTTCATTCTGTCCCTCCATTTTTCATGCTCCATATTTCTGTTTTCATGAAAAGATCCACATTTGGACACATTTGGAAGAACTAGCTCATTTTTAAGATTCTTATCTGACACTTGTAAAGATTATCCATGCAGATATGTTTTATCTTAGCGGCTTTATGACTCAGGCTTTGGTTTCCCGACTCATCCATTCTCTGGTCTGTTTCTTGCCACAGGGGTTTTTGGCAAACACTGCGAACTGAACAGCTACGGTTTTGAGGAGCTCTCCTACATGGAGTTTCCCTCGCTGGATCCCAACAATAACTACATATATATCAAGTTTGCCACTCTGAAAAGCAACGCGCTGCTTATGTACAACCACGACAACCAGACCGGGGACAAGGCCGAGTTCCTGGCTCTGGAGATATTCGAAGGACAGATGCGGTTCTCCTTTAACCTGGGCAGTGGAACCTATAAACTGATGACCATGATAAAGGTTTCGGATGGGCAGTTCCACACTGTCATCGCCAGGAGAGCCGGGATGGTAAGAACGAAGGATTATTTTCATTTTATAAATTAGCTCACATCCTCAGTTTTTACCCTTTAAAGCCTGATCCAAGAAAAAGTTCAGTTCAAACATAAAAAGCAGAAGAATCAGGAGGGAGTAAAGGTCCTAAATGAGCTTTTTTATCTCTTTAAATGATTAAATGTGACACGCAGACACCACAAGAGTTTAACCCTTTAAAGCCTGATCCAAGAAAAATGGGAAGAATATTGGATTTTTTTAGTCTGAAGTCTTTCTTTGGCCCCTCAACAACATATAAAGAAAAAAAACAGAAATTATTTTGATCAAATTAGCGTGCAATAAGTCAAAAATAGATAAAATATGACACATTTGGCATTAAAGGGTTAAGACCCCCAAAACAGCTTTAAAAGCCCCAAAAACAGCTTTAACCCTTTAAAGCCCGATCCAAGAAAAATAGGAAAAATATTGGATTTTTTTAGTCTGACGTCTTTCTTTGCCCCCTCAACAACATATGAAGAAAAAAAACAGAAATTATTTTGATCAAATTAGCGTGCAATAAGTCAGAAATCTATGTTGGTGTGGTCTTCTACTGGCTGTTATCAGGTATATCTGAATGTGTACAACAGGGGTTTGAGCAAAGCTTTTACCACTGAATGATGCAGAAAGTCTCAGATCCAAAAGAAACCGGATCAGATACGACACATTTGGCTTTATAGGGTTAA